CAAACAGCCCATCAGAGATGCTTATCTGTTTCGCCCACACACAGAAGAGGAAGGGGGGGAAATCTGCCATCGTAAATGGCCTTATTTGACACTGGAAAAGCAGCCATCTTGACTGACACACAGAGAGGGGACACACAATGGATCCTTTATATAAGCATATATAAGGAGCAGAACTGCCAAGTTTATGCTAAGGCAGATGATCTAAGAATCCGTTATATCAAACAGATTGTGTGTGTGTGTGTGTGTGTGTGTGTATGTACAATGTATTTACCCGGATACTGATTTATTTATTTTTTTTGTACCACGTACATATTTTATTACTGAATTTTCCTTTTTTCTCTTTTAGCCTGGACTTATATCCTGTACAAATGAAGGCAAATATACGTGCCCTGGGATTTTTTTGAAGGGGGCTTAATGGTCTCTGAGCTTGCCTGTTTTCTTGCAGATGTTTTATTACCCGAACATCAAGAGTACTGGTACATACTTGCTAGCCCTGATGATGTTACCTAGTTGGGTCATGAAACGTCTGCAAGAAACTAAGCAAACTCAGGGAGTACCAAGGACTCCTCATGTCAACTCTGAGCTACAGGTATTCTCCTTTATTGGCAGATATTTTTAAAAAATATACATATCTCTCCCTGACTCCATTACTACAGTAGCAGACTATCATGTTTACCGATCAGATCGTGAAATCCATAAAGGAGGTGGTGTTGCTATCTTCTATAAAAAGTCCTTACATCTAAAAAACATCCAAGTTACCAAGGAGCTTGCTCTTCCTGAGACCATCGTCTGTGAACTGTCCTTAAATATCACATTTCGGTTCTTACTATGTTACAGGGCCCCTGATTATGACATTGAATATGCAAACAAGCTAAATACACTACTAACATGGGCAACATCCTCTCCACACACTTTTATCTTTCTTGGTGACTTCAATCTACCTCATATTAACTGGATCCTTAACGAATGTACAACTGAACCCATACAAGCAACCTTCTATGCAGTAACAAATCTGGGACTAGAACAACTAGTAACCAACAACACTAGAAGTAACAACTGCCTCGATCTCATCTTCTGCAATAATTTGAATTCAATTTACGGAATACAAATTAAAGAACTCTTTTCCAACAGTGACCACAACATGATTGACTTTTGTCTCAACATACATCCACACAAAAATCATCACAACGATGGAATCCCCAATTATAACTTTAAAAAAGGCAACTATGATCTTATAAACAACAATCTCTCATCCCTTGATTGACAATTTCTATTCTCTGGATGCAATACTGTAGAAGACCATTAGAACATATTTTTACTTGAAGTCAAAAGAGTCATCGAACTATATGTACCATTAACAACTCCCAAAACCAGAATAAAACGAGTTACCCATGACAATAAGGAAACTTCAATCCAAAAAGAAATCACTTTGGTGGAAAAACAAATCTGGTCACGTTGCCAACTTCAAAAGCCGATACAAAAATTTATGCCACCAGATAAAAACTGAATGCACCAATTATCACATTAAACAAGAGGAAAACCTTCTACGCACCAATTCCACCTGCGCTTTCTACAATTTTGTAAACAACAAACTAAAAGACTCAAGGTCCATCCCACCCCTGAAAGGACCTAATGGTAAAGACTGCAACATTCTTTGGCTCAGTATTTGCAAACAGCAATGGATCATGCCCAGTATTTCCTAGTCGAACAACAGACAACTACAATGATCTAATACATATTGATTTTACAGAAGACAAGGTTGAAAAAGCACTATGCAATCCAAAACCGTCTCTATCTATTGGACCGGATGGAATATGTGCCTACTTCTTAAAAACGCTATCCACTGCCATAGCCGAACCTCTAAGCATAATCTTTGAAAAATCTTTCAGGACCAGCTCCTTGCCTAACCTATGGTCACAAGCCATGGCCTAATTGAAAATTACAGTCCAATCTCCTTATGCTGCGTCACCTGTAAAGTCATGGAATCAATTATTAACCAATCCATTATCCTCCACTTAGAGACAAACAACCTACTCTCTAATAAACAATTTCGTTTCAGAAAAAAACTATCCTGCAATCTGCAACTCTTGCACTGCAAAAACATATGGACTACACAACTCGATCAGGGCAAAACAATAGACGCAATCTACATAGACTTCTGTAAAGCCTTTGATTCAGTGGTACATGACAAACTACTCCTAAAATTAAAATCTTATGGTATCTCTGGACAACTGCATAATTGGATAGAAGCATTTCTGTCAAACAGACAACAAATGGTCAAAATTGGGAGTGTCCTATCAAATTCTGTACCTGTCAATAGTGGTGTCCCCCAAGGCAGTGTTTTAGGACCAACTCTCTTCACAGTCTACATAAATGACCTCTGTGATCATATCAAGAGCAACTGCGTTCTCTTCACTGATGATGTACAGCTATTCAACACCACAGAAAATACTACTACCTTTCAAAAAGACCTTGACTATGTATCAGGATGGTCAAACAAATGGCAACTTCAAATCTCAACAAATAAATGCTCTGTCCTACATATTGGCAAAAAAAGTCAGAAAATAAAATACAGGCTGAATAGTCAAGACCTTGTTGATGATCCAAACTCCGTCAAAGACCTTGGAATACTCATCTCAAATGACCTAAGTGCTGGAGCCCACTGTAACTACATAGCCAAAAAGGCGTTAAGAGTTGTTAACCTAATCTTACATAGCTTTTTCTCTGGTAATATTACACTAATAATTAGAACGTACAAAACATTTGCTAGATCAATACTCAAATACAGCTCATCAGTCTGGAACCCACATTACGTATCTGATATTAACACAGGTGAGAAAGTCCAGAAATATTTCACAAAAAGAGTTCTCCACTCCTCTACTCGTTGCAGAATATCTTTATGCCACCAGACTCAAAATTCTAGACCTAGAAAACCTTCGGTCTGATCTAAGTATGGTATATAAAATCATACATTGCAATGACTTACCTGTCAATGAATACTTCAGCTTCAACCATAACAACACAAGAGCAAATAATAGAGGCAAACTCAAGGTTGATCGCACCAAACTTGATTGCAGGAAATACAACTTCAGCAACAGAGTGGTCAATGCCTGGAAGACTCTACCTGACTCTGTGGTTTCTTCCCCAAACCCCAAAAACTTTAACCTTAGACTGTCTACTACTCACCTCACCCCTTTCCTAAGAGGTCTGTAGGGGGTGTGCATAAGCGCACCAATGTGCCTACCCTCCCTGTCCTATTGTTTCTTTTATATTTTTTTATTTTTCTTATATGTATCCGTGTATTCATAACTATGTTTTTACTTATACCTATTATCTTGTAAGCAACTGACAAAAATAAATAAACAAATAAATAAAATAATAAAATAATCTTGAGAGGTTGTTGAAACATCTGGATGGTATAACAGTGGTTGTTGTTTTTTTAAATTTGTTTTAAATAAAAACCCCTGAAGAACAACAGCAGCATGATCCTGACTGAACCTTTCCCAAGGGCTGAGGGAAGAGTATTTGTTTCCGACCAGCTTTCAACACACATCGCATCAAATTAGATTGACGATACAAGGGGAGAGACTGACAGGCTTCGCAGGATTTTAATCCTCAGGTACGCCAACTCCCCCCTGCTGCTTTTTTACAGACAGAATTTTAATGAGCCCCAACTCCAGAGGGTGTGCAAAGGACGTCCAGCAGAAACCCAACAATTGCACTCCAGGACTTATTTATTAAATTTGAATGGGGAAGTGAGCTGGGGAGGTGAGATCCCATGTGAACTGAAAGGGAGGCTTGCTCTCAAGAATAACTGTGCTGCCGAGTGGAGTTGTTTACACCCTGTCAAGGCCAACCCGCCTCGGACTCCAGATGGGCAAAATACCTGAAGATGAGCTTCACACAACATTATACTGGGCATCGTTTGGACCCTCAGCACTGGACCCTCTGGGGGGGGGAGGGGTTTGGGGAAACTTTCAATCTGTAACTTTCACGCCTTTTGAATCAGATCTTGCCTTGCCTGCGCTGCAATCATTTCCAACTCAGTCAAAGCACCTCTTCTCTATCCCGTTGGAGTTGGGGAATTTTCTTTCTTGGGCAGACCTGACACCGCAGTTGTTAAGTGAATAAACTGCAGTTGTCAAGTGAGTAACACAGTTGTTAAGTGGATCTGGCTTCCCCACTGACTTTGCTGGTCAGAAGATCGCAAAGATCGATCACATGACCCTGGGACACGGCCGCCGTCATAAATACATGCTGGTTGCCAAGCTACAATGGGCGTGAGCCACTTTTTTCACTGCCGTTGCAAATTTCAACAGTCACTAAATGAATGGCTGTAAATTGAGAACTACCTGTATCCCATAACTGTTGGCAGAAACATACGATCTGGGTCTTCCTTTTGGGGTGGTGTTTTGAAATTACAGGCGTTCTCTGTTGAAATTACAGTAAGCAAAAATCTGGGGCTCAGTTGTGTTCAGTGAGGACGACCTGCATAATTTCTCCCTTACTTCTTTGCTGCTTTTTTATGACTTATAAAACTAGGTAGATCCCCAACCTCCTAGCTCTTTCCCTCCTGTCCTTGCCACTTCAAACCCTTATGACACATATTTAACCTCTTAAAAACAAGGAGCATTAAACCAACGCCTGTTAAATCAAAGGCAAACTCTACAATACATGAAGCACGGCCAAAGTAAATATTTATTTAAAAATGGGACAAGGGATATGTTGGCCAGGTGACAGCAGGGCCTGCTTCAGTTAGACTGTCTCTCAAGCTATTACGAACTGATTTTCAGGAGCAGTATTTAAAATTAGTATGTGATACGATATTAATACAGTGATATGATTTAATACATTGCATTTTTTAAAACAAATTAATACAGCATTACCAAAATTAGCATCATTAAAAAGAGACTGATACCAAGGCAGAATAATGATACTTTTGAGAGGGGGGAAAAAGGAATGCAGTATTAAACAGAAAGTGGATAATAGTCAGGAATTACCTCAGAGAAGCATTTTTTTAGACATTCAGGGACTTTTCCATCAATTATGAGAAGCATCCTCTCCATCTCTTCACGGGCAACATGGCTCCCAGATTCATTGGAAAATAGGCTGAAAATATCTAAGAGAGAAGACAAAGCAATGTACAACAGAGCAAAATAAGTATTTCTGTGCAAGTCAGAAATCGTGATCGAGCTGGTGATGTCCATTATTTCACATCGTTTTAAGAAACAGGAATGGTTATACTCCTAAAATCATTTTTTTACAAAACATCTATACAATTGTTCTTAAAATCATCCGATATTTCCACTGCAAAGGGCATGGGTCTTTATGTAAAATAAGTATCACGAGCAATGTCTAGATCAGGGGTGTCCAACCTTGACAACTTTAAGACTTGTGGACTTCAACTCCCAGAATTCTTCAGCCAGCTTTGCTGGCTGAGGAATTCTGGGAGTTGAAGTCCACAAGTCTTAAAGTTGCCAAGGTTGGACATCCCTGGTCTAGATCTTTCGGTTTCTTTGATCTGCCCCTCTTCATCCTACCCCACAGGTCCCTCCTCCCCCTCTCCTTTACTCAGGACAGCCTGGCATCTAGCTAAGCAGGGCTGGAGCAGTTGGGATGGCAGGTTTGACCAGGATTCACTTTGGTGTCAGAAGTCTAAGGTGGTGATGCTTTTCAACCAGACTCTAAACTGAAATTAAGAATAGGAATAAGACTAGGGAATAGGGAATAGAGAATAGGAATATAGAATAAGAAGAATGGAATGAAGTGGAGTGGAATAAGAATAGAATGGAATGGAATGGAATGGAGTGGAATGGAATGGAATAGAATAGGAATAGAATAGAATAGAATAGAATAGAATAGAATAGAATAGAATAGA